TAAGCGCACCGGTTAAGAATAGTGGATACATGCAAATTATTACAAATATTTTATCTCCCTCCCCTCCCCTCCCTCACTCAATGTTGTTTACCCAATCCAGACATTATAGCACACCAAAGTATGATGCTAACTGCCGACCCAACATTGAACAGGGGGCGGGGGATCGACGCTTTTCAAAATTATAGGTGGTTGGGACATCTGGCCAACACATTTGAAAATTATTGTAGGTGTGTTCATAGTGCTTTGTCCTGAGGTTTGTAGGTGTGGCAGAGATAATATTTTTTGATGCGATGCCACAGTTCGGTGAGACTGTATAAACAATGATATAATACATTATATTATAACCATGGGTGTTTCTTAATAGTTGACCTGCATCTATAAAGGACATAAAGCCTCATTAATATCATTAACGCGACGAAAGACACGGAAAATCACCGTTTCTTATTGACTCTCACTATATGACCTATATGCAAAACATGGCTAAACGCAAAATAGTAAGATTCTATTGGCTATTGCATTACCTGTCTTGTATGCTAAATATGTTGTCCTGAGTTATTCGTTTTGTAATTTGCATGGTCATGAAATATAGATAATAAATCATTACTATATGCAGATAGTCATTTTGACAGATTATGCTCGCAACCCACTGTTAATCTGCCCAATGGAATTTGTCTTTAGTCTTTAAGATAGAAAACCTATACTCGAGCTGCGTGCCTGTCAAAATTGTACATTTCGCGAAGCATATTTCGTTCAGCTGGACAAATTAATTTTCGGGCTTGTCTAGTTGCCACTCTTGGTCTTGGAGGCATGGCTCAAATTGTTTGTTATAGCACGTTTGCAGTCTGTACTACAAAAGCTCACATATAATTAAGTTATGCGTATATGAACTAAGTCTAATGACATTAAAAATAGGCCTACTACAGCCTAGTCCCAGGCTCTCTCTCTCTATCCGCTGCTTTGATATATTTAAATAAGTCTTAAAAGTTTTATGCCTGGGTGTGCTGTGCGGAACGCTTCAGCGAGAGAGCCTAGCAGATTTCGGTAAAATGGTCCCTGATTTCAAAAAAGTGGTCCCTGGCCTGGTTACCAAGCATACCTCATTTGTAAATGGAAAATGTTATGGAAGTTCCTTTGCATTTATAATTAAGTCCTTAGTTTTGCTCTAATGCTCTCGGAACAATGAAGTAGGCTACGTTTCGCGGCCATACGGTCAGAATGGAATAACGGGCTAAATATGACTCGTGTTTACTAAAATATATAGCCATATTAAATGCTATGTAGAAGCTTGAAAATTATGCCGAGTCTCCGACTATGAATGTTTTGACAACACCGTCATGTCAGGCAAATATTTCCAATCTCATCAGCAATTTAAACCTGTCAAGTAGAAAGCGTAGTTGTGTATACCAGTATGGTCTAGTGTTGATCACAACTTGCGAGTACATAAATAACATCAACGATTGCTCAAACTCGGTATCGTAAATTTGTATATAATTTTTTTAGTTGAGCACATTTTTAATACAGTTTGATTTGGTTATGTAGACATCGAACATGTACATGATGAACGAACATTATCGTATTTATAATTAAAAGGTTACTTGTATATATAAATTTTCCGCCATATTACAAATACTGAAATCTGCTGGGCGTTCTGAAGCACCTTGAGCGGTGACGTCACACCTAGGTCCCAGTCTCGTACTACATCCACTTTTTTCTCGCGCTTGCTTCAGAACGACTGGGACTAGGCTGGGCCTACTATATTTCCCAACAGTATATATACAGTAGTGTGAGTTGCGGCAGAGTAAATCCATTTACCGAGTCAAATCCGAGTCCGAGTCAGTCCCGAGCCCGAGTCAAACGCCCGAGTCGCGTAAAAAAGAGACGAAAGTGAAGAAAATTCACAGTCGAATAGGAGTACGTAGGTTTAGGGTTAGGGTACTAATATAAGTCATTTTACCGACAAAGACAGTTAAACAGTGACTCGGACATTTGACTCGAACTCGGATTTGAGTCGGTCAGTAACCGACAAACTCCGAAATTGAATAAAATTCACAGTTGAATAGGGTTAGGGTAAGTTAGGAGTGGGATTATGGTTAGGATTAGGGTACTAAGTCATTGAACTGCAAAGACCATCGATTAAACTATGACTCGGACATTTGACTCCGGCTCGGATTTGACTCGGT